GTTTTATATATTAGAAATATCGTGGGACATACTGAATTAACTGAAAATATCGGTTTACTAACGTGAATATACTGAGACTGACTTATAGTTTCGAGTCACAGAGAAACTCTTCCTCATGAGCAGCGTGCGCGGTCACGGCGATGTCGTGCAGCCTACTCTTAAAAAATAAATCAAACAATCAATTTATTTATTCAGATAATACAATCCATATGGTTAGTAAAAACATATACAACTTTTAAACTAGTATTAGTACATCAAACCTTATCATATAAAATTACAATAATTTGTCATAGGTAATAGAATAATACAGTAACAATACAGACGAATTTCACTACTTCTGGGCACGGTTTGTAGGCAACACTTGCGTCTTCGTTCAGTGTTTTAACATAAGGCCATCAGTTCTATCCGCCACGGTCATCAGAAGACTGTTGGCGCTGCCTCGCACCCGCTGCATCAGGGAGGTGACACGCTTTCTTATGATTGCAGAGAAATCATCTTTATTTATTTATTCAATAGGTACACAAAACAGAAACACAGCGCAATACACAACAGAATACAAAACTGTAAATGGCAGACCATGCTTCCACAAGTATGTGTACACAACATGCAACGACTAGTATTTATTTATAATGAATTATAATCCAGAACAAAATTAGAGATAAATTGTAATAATAAATAGAATTAAGAATGAAATTAAACAATAGATACATTATTGAATATTCAATATTGTCCCCATTACCGGACCGACCAAATAATAATTTCTTAATAATATATGTTTAAATTTGTGTGCGTGCATAAATAATAACCCTTATAATTTTGTCGCTCAATAAAGATAGAAAAGCACAGATTTCTTCTGCCTCACACCACACTCCAAAAACTTAAGATGTACTTGAAGTAACAGTAGTTCAACTTGAGAACTCATGTCCTAGTAGGTCGTTCTAAACGGTGTCAAATCAACACTTGCTGAACATTACCGTTCAGTTTACACATTCAAAGGGAATTCGCACTTCGGGTATGTGTATTTAATTTCGATTTCGAATAATGAAGTTTAATCGAATGGTGTAATAATCTTGTGTCTGTTTTCTTAGAAGGATGTCTGAGGACGTATGTGAATGTAGTGCCAAGACAATTTGAAATTGGCTGTAATGGTTTTATTGTATGTATGAAATATTAAATGTATGATTATCGACAGTTTATCGTATTATATTTACGACATACTTTCATATTTTCCATAGATCTTATTATGATATTATGGGTATGGATCGAAATCAGTAGTAATTATGTAAAGCACTGTAAAGAAATTAAAAGGATTTTGTACAAAAAAAAACACAAAAATAATTTAAAAACTTTCAAATAAAAAAAAAATAATCAGATGATCTAATAACCTATAAATTAATAAATGATGTTTATAATTAAAGATTCAATCGTATCATGACCTAGTATCGCTACGTTGGCACTTAATCACATTTCTGGATTGGCTCGATTTATGACGTTAGCGATAACTCATGTAAGATATGACAGATCACGATATTTATCACTTTTAGATATGTGTTTAGAATTCATAAAGTGAGTGGTAGATTTCACAAATGTTTTGTATTAGTTAGTGGTTGCACTTTTGACCTATAATGCTAACTTCTTTTCGATATATGATATATGAAGTAGTGAAAAATGGGTGTTACATTGTACAGTGGCATTAAATTATGTAATGTGCACCTCTGCCTACCCTTTCGGGGATAAAAAGCGCGATGTTATGTTCATAAGAAAGTATGTGTATGTATATCACTTCCTTAGATTCAAAACATCGTTGATAGCTACTGCGTCATCGCTCAACATTACCACGAAACATAACCTTGGCCTAAAAAATAAATATACCAAAAAATTACAAGATATAAACATACAATTTCACCCCAATCTATCCTTAACATTTCTATCAACAAAAACCAATTTATCATCACACGAAGGGGATGTAAGCACGCGTTTCGTTTCGAAATAACCCCTTAGCGTTCACGTGTCATAAGCCGTTAAACATACCGTGTAAACCTTCCCTTATGCCGACATTAGGAATAAGTGGCGTTTCGGTGTCTTGTAGACGTATTGATGCACTGAGAGTTCTTGAACATGGTAAAGAAAATAAAGTCAAAGTCAAACGTAAAGCATTTATTTCGATTAAACCATAACTTGGTACTTTTGAAACGTCACCAAATACAAAATAAATAATAGTCTGTTAGTCAGTCCGTCAGTGAAGCTAGGTGAATTTAGGTGCTCATTCCAAAATGTAGATTCGAATGGAAAAGAACGAGCAAGAAACTCCATTCGTTACTCTTTTTTAGAAAAGTTATTCTACAATGTCTCTGATACATATTCCAGTACTGTACGTATATGTGAGAACAATGCAAAGACACGCTTGACGCATTATACTGATTACAAAACTTACTAAAAACTAAATATTAAATAGTTTTGATGTTTGACTTGCTACATCCATAGAAAACAGTAGACTTGTTCATTATTGTGCATGATGAGTACTTATCACCACACAATCCTTTCAAAATAAGACAGCCTATTTATCTAATGAGTGCGTTTAACCTTCAACTGCTATTATCAAGCAAATATATGTGCTGTTAACGAAACACATACAAGAGCCAGGCCTTAAAGTTCATTGAAAACTTGCCTAGACAAACAATTACAATTCCTTACATTGTCAGCCTTAGAAGCTAAAGGTTTGTACTATTAGTTGAGCAGAACACTTAATGTCAAGCCCAGCTATATAGTTTTAAAGCAAGATTAAGGAGCGCCTCAAGGTCGCCATTTTGTCACTATACGGTTAGTCTGTGTCTTCATTTAAGTAATTTACGTTACTGTTTATCATCCACGTGGAGTAAATAGTAAATTGAATTTATTAGTGGTGTACGACAGTATATAGTAGGCTTTGGTAATAAAGAGGAGAGGGGTGAATATACGAGACCTGTATCCAGCAATAGAAACAGGCTAAAACTAGTAATTTTTAAAATTGTTTCAATATCAGTAATAAAAAGTTTCATTGCCTCGTTGGCTGGGTGGTCGCAAGTGCAACTGGCAAGGGGTTTTGGGTTTGATTCCCAGGGCGGGCAGAGTATTACTGGTTTTTTTTTTAAATATCAGTAGTAGATCATCTGAAAATGTGCCCGGTATATGGCAATAAGATCACCCCCTATTACATGGGACTCCTAACATAAATAGTGAAAAGTGCGTGTTACATTGTATTGAGTATCATTGAGTGTCGTAATGTGCACCTCTGCCTACTGTTTCGAGGATAAAAAGGAGTGATGTTATGTTATGTTGTAAAAAGTTTTACTAAGTTGTTAATAAACAACCTTCAATTTGGAACCTTAGTTTTATGTTAATATCTTATTAATAAATCACCAAAAAGATTACGGACCTACATATCATAACTTTTATAAAAATTGGATTTAAAATCTGACGGCGCAGCGACAGCACCTTCTATTATTTGTTTTGGAACTAGGATGACATCAGCCACAGAAGTCATTCTGACGGAGCGTCATGTCGAGAACAGCCATACTTTTGAACCAGACTACGGTTATGAAGGGCGTGCGCGAGACATCTCCGACGAATCGTCAAAGTTCCGCGCAATCTTATAATTTTCCATAAAGTTAGTTGGATTAGTGATGATTATGACTCGGTGTTTTATTTTATTATATGCCCAAATACCCACGCAATGGCTGATCCTGATGCAGGTGGGGAAATGCCCATAAATCTAATACTATTTTAAACCTTCACTCTTCGACTCTCATGTAGATATTTCACTGTCTGACCTTTGAAATCGCAACAAGTCATGCGAGAACAAATAGAGCCGAGTGTTCGTTCTCAGTGGGTGGTGGGCTATAGTCGGCAATGAGAAAGTCAATTTACTAACTATAAATCTTTTCTTACTTTCCTCGACATTCTTATTTTGCTAATAAAAAGGCCAAGTTTTCTAGGAAACGTCTGATGGAGTTTGTCTAGACACCTTCATATTAAGAAACTTCTTTGTTTTTTGTTTACACTGATTGTAAAGCCTATGAATTCATATGTGCACAATGACCAGATTTTAAATGTGAAAGCAACTTTTCACCAATTAAGTTTCGACCACCATGTAATTAATTAATTAAGTCATACACTGAACACAAATTGCTATACACTCCATGATATTACTTAGACTTTTTTGTAAAAACTAAACTTGGAACACAGATTATATAATATTGCGCGATAGAACTGCGTGTACATTATAGATTATAAATTTACCTTATTACGACAAATATTTATTGTTTCTTAGTAAATTAAGGTGAAACTGATCAAGAATTTATTGCTTCCGTCCGTCAGGTCAAGGCTTCGCTGAAGGCTAGGTCATGCGAAGGCTAGTTTAGTACAAACTACATATGTTTCATACATTATAGTAATAGTTGTTGAAGACAATAACTTATTCATCGTTTTACTGTAATACATAATAATATAATAAGCAAATAAAACCACCCACCTATATACAAAACGAACGAATTTTAATGTACTAATATTATTGTAACATAACATACATGGTTACATAAATACATAATGGTTTTTCTGTGACTTCTAAGAACGACATACACACTTTTTTATTCATAATACATAACATAACATCACGCATTTTATCCCCGAAGGGGTAGGAGGTGCACATTATACCACTGTACAATATGTAACACCCACTTTTCACTATTTATTTTATGAGTCCCATGTAATAGGGGCTGAGCCTATTGCCATATACCGGGCACAATTTCAGACTCCGTGCTACTACTGAGAATATTTATAAACCTGGTAATACTTTGCCCGACCCGGGAATCGAACCCGAGACCCCTTGCCCGGCAGTCACACTTACGACCACTCGGCCAACGAGGCGGTCAATATACCATTTATATCATAATACCATAGTTGTTAGTAAAAAACAATAGTCACAACAATTTTTATTTATTTCTGTCTTGACACACAAGTTAACAATAAATAAAATCAGTGAATACGATACGAAGTGATGCGCCGTTATGCGTTGCTATCTCGAGTGACATTGTCACTCGTTCCATCTGTCAGTTGAATTTGACAGTTCTAAAAACGTCAAACCGATGATGTTTCCTTATAATATTATGTTGTTTATAACCATTGAGGAACTATAAATGTGTTTAGTGTATAGAAATTGGGTATAGTTTAACTACATCCATACCTTATCCTACACGTTTTTTTTAAGGGGGGGAAATCATCGAATAACTGCTCTCGCCTGGGTGAGGCGGGAGGGAGTGTCAGACTCTTACTGACTAAAAACCACCCCGTTCCTTCTCCCGGGAACCCGTTAGGTTCTCCGCAATATCCTACACGTTTAGGAATCAAATTCACGTAACTAACACGTCTATAACCAAGATATTTAATAAAATTTACATACATTAGTTTACATTATACAGGTTGATGTCAAACACCTTTAGCGCCTCAGATCTCAAGCAACACCCTGTACATAATTACGTACGCGTTAATAATTACCCACTCATCATTCTGTCACAGAACTCCGTTTCAATTGCTAATGATACGCCTCTCGAATTAATTCCAGTTAAATCTTGCTCAATTCGAGACCAGACAAAGGAAAATGTGCTTAAGGTACTTAATACATAGGTATGTTTGGCGATGGTAGGGAAATTAGCGTTAAAGCAGATGTTCTTAAGAACGTGTTTTGATTGCGTTTGTAAAGGTGGATGTGTTCTTTTTGTTTTACGTAAAATGTTGTCTATAATTGCAAATGTAATTTGGAATTAAAATTATTAATGAGTAGAATTTTCTGATAATTTCTTATAAATCTATAAATTTTTATTAATCCTTGCTTATGCCTTCACTATCATGAATAAATACAGACTGCCTCGTTGGCCGACTGGTCACACGTCCGACTGCCGAGTATATGGTCTCGGGTTCGATTCCCGTGTCGGGTAAACTATTACTGGGTTTTTTTTGAGATATTCTCAGTAGTATCACAGGGTCTAGAAATGTGTCCGGTATATGATAATAGGCACACCCCCTATTACATGAGGCTCATAATAACATAAATAGTGAAAAGTAGGTGTTCCATTGTACAGTGGCATGAAGTGCCGTAATGTCCACCTCTGCCTATCCCTTCGGGGATAAAAGGCGTAATGTTATGTTATGTATTATGAATACAAAAGTTTGAATGTCGTTCTTAGAAGTCACAGAAAAAACATTTTTATGGTACGATTTTAATTGGGTACTTGCCAACTAGTCAGATTCAATACTTTTTTCGAACTGTCAAAATCGTCAGTTTTCTATGAATTTTGTATGAGATTGTGTATTGTGACGTCACATTTTTTGCGTCAAACTAAGTTGGTCGTAAAATCAAATAATGAAAGTGTGATATTTTTTTATATTTTATAGTATTGAACAGTCGAAATAACTTATTTTTGATGAAGGAAAGTAGCATTCCTAGAGGTAGGTCGTAAGCTAATGAGTTTTATACAAGCTACTTTTATTTTCCTTAAATGACTTAGAATTTTATTAAAAACATGTCATCGACCTCCAGAAATCAAATTAATTTTGACGTTCAAATCTAAACATCGTTAGAGCCTATTAATCATGTAATACAAGGCAAGAAGTAATCGTAATCAAGCAATTAGTATTCGGCAACATTAATTCCACATTCCACATACATTACATTGGCTTAAGCCAAGATAACACAAGTAAGACAAATTATCATTTGTCTAGATGAGACAAATTACTTGTTAACTTTGTATCAATATCTTGAAAGAAATTACTTTTGTTAACAAAAACACTTAGAGACAAGCTTTTTTATTTCTTTTGGGAATTTCCTTTGGGAACTGTACCATTCCATTTTGAATTTTTCCTTGTTTTGGTAAACGCTTTGTTCCCACATCTAGCTCAAGGTAGCTCGAGATTGGAGAAATATTCAAAATAATCAACTCGGATTCCTTCGAGACTGCTCAAGTAATGCTAAAACTTTTTATTAGTTGATCAAAGTAATCATCAAATTATAATTTCTTTGTAAGCAAGTAATTTCTGAGTAGGGATTGACTTTTGTAAGTTCAAATTGAAAGGACTTTCTTTTGGTAATACTTAGCGAAAGTATACAACAAACTGGTTCACAAAAATGCTTAACATTTTTTGCATTAGCAACAAAATATAAATATGGTTTTGTTTAACTCGTAAATGTCCGATTATAAAAAATCCACAGCATTTGTTCATACAAAATTAGTCTCTAAACATCGGAAATAAGGTATGTAATAGAGTAAGTAGATTACGGTCACCTGTGATCACTTGGGGATTGACTAGTTAATAAAAATGCCTATAAAACTACACAGATGCTGCATGGAGACGAAAGAAAAAGGATTAGAAGCAAGTTTTATTTTCCAAGACTAGTTTAAATCTAATTTAATTTTATTTCCTCATCTAAACTTGTGGAAATGTTAACAGCAATGCAATTAATATGGATCTGTTTACATTTAGACGGTGCTAGAAAAACGAGACGGTGATTTTGTGAGTGGAAATTCCCAGCAAATCCCCAGTTCGGAATTAAGTTTATTTCTTATTGTGGCCAACTGTTTAGCCCGCACCGATGAAGTTAGATTTAAATTGTTTGTAAACTCGTTTAGTGCAATTCACTTTTTCCTTGTTATACATTTGAATTTTGATTTAAAATTTGAATTCTTTGCTTGGAGAGCAAACAATGCGTTTCATGATATGAGACATTTCAGCTTAACTATTATTTCGAGGAGTATGAATAAACTCGAGTTTGGTTTTAAGTTGTAAATTAAACTAAGACTTTTTTGACCATTGACAGTTAAAACTAAGATTGCCTTAGTAAGAGCCTGAAAATCCCACTTTCTTCACACAGGCCACCTCAAAAAAGATGGTGCATAATAACTCTATACTATTTTTTCTGCAATTCAACTACAAAGTTAAAGCATTTATTTTAATGAATACTTAATTAGCTACTTTTGGAACGTCAAAAATTGTATTTGTCCGTCCGTTTGTCTGTCAATGAAATTAGGCGCTCGTTCCAAAGTATAGTTTCGAATGGAGAAAGACGAACAAGCAAGAAACTCCATCGTTAATATTTAAAAAAATGTTACTGGACTGTACAATACTTAAACTTTAGTAAACGTACAACCAAAATAGAAGCGGTTTATAAAACCAACTAGAGTCTGGTATTTTTACTAAGCTTCACTTTTAACTTGTTGGACAGATCTAGTTAAGTTTAATCAAAGCCACGGTTGGAGTAAAGCGAATGAATATGTAGTCACTGAATAAACGGGACGAAAGAATTGCAAGCAACTACATAAATGTTTACAGATTTCTATTTGCATTATTAAAGTAAGAAACTTGTTTATATTACAACTTTCGTGGGACATACTAAATTAATTATTATGTTTTCGGCTTACTCACGTAACTGTCTGACGAGGGACCCGCTGGGCGCGCACCGCAAGCACGAGTAGCCAGTAGCAGCACGAAACGATTATCGTGCACAACACAGCGATCTGTGTTGTGTATCGCAAATTGCTGCTTATGAATATGAGCCTCAAGCATGGCTTAAAACTAGTCAAGTTTGTTCACTCCGTGATATAGACTTGGCTTTGAAATTTTTTCGAAATGCTAAACCTAATTGCTACATTAATACGAGTTCTATGGGAAGAACAAGCAAATATAATATTAATTCTAAATTGTTCCTAAGTATGATTGTTTCATATTCAGAATTATATAAGTCTAGTTGCGTACTTATAAATATTCTCGCTACAGACTTGAATTTTACACTTGGATGCTTTTATTGTTTTACTCGATTTCGTGATCTAGGCCATTGTCTGGTAACTTGAAACTGATTTCTTTTAGAAAGAGGTTTTTTGAGAAAGGCACAGAAGTTAATTCGACTCGCTTCTACTGAACTAAAATTGTAAAAAGTTTAGAGTGAAAAATCTCCTATTTTTTGTATTTGATGGGCCGACATTTGACCACTATCTAGCCTGGTGGTAAGCGACGATGCAGTCTATGATTATTAAATTATTTAGAAGTCTACTTGAGGTATATTTCATATGTAGGTTTTTAAACCTACATATGAAATATGCAGCTATGTCTCCGAACGGAATGTCTCAGAGCATCAGCACCACCACAATGTATCCTTTATGGTTTTCAATAACGGTTTCAAAAACAGGTCATTTTCTAATACAAGATAAAACGCAGATAATTCCGTTTTAAAGTGAGAACTATCTAAAGCTCAGATAAAGGAGCCACACAGCCTTTATGCAAAACTCTCTCAGTCGGGAGAATGCAATTATAGAGAAGTGCTAATAGGATGATAGCTAAGAATTTTTCATTTCTTAAGCGTTGAGTGTCTGGATATTAGTTTTTGCATCCGCAAGCACTGTAGATAAAAGAAAAAAAATTGAATACTAATTATAGGTTGCACCGTCAAAAACATAACGGGATTACTTCTTCTACATAGGTTTCTGGTGACTATTATACTTTTTGGTAGCCTAACTAATAAATTCTCATCAGCCAGGTATTAAATTGCTGAATGACCAAAAAGTGTGCAACAGTAACTATTTAAAAATAATAAGTGAATAACCTTTTTACTTGACTGATTACAAAGTGCACGCACGAAGCGTTTTGCATCAAGCTTCCTTGTGTATACTGCTAAGGAGTGGCATTCGTTGTCAGAGTCTGTGTTTTCTGAAGGGTGACCTAGGGGTCTTCAAGGCCTGAGTGAATAAATAGCTTATGGGCAGACGTGCTCCATCATAGGCTACATCATTGCTTGCCACCAAGCGAGATAGTGGCCAAACGTCGGCCTATCAAAGATAAAAAAGTGAAACATTTAAAAATTCTAGAAAGTTACGATATAAATTCTGTATCCGTAATACTAAAATCACGACAGTGGTTATACAACAGGATACATTAAACCTAAAACCAACTAAATTATCCGCAAATCGTAAATCAGATCCTATCAATACTAACATTTATCTTTCCACAGCAAATTAACATTCATTATACAAATTAAAAAGTAATCACGTTATTCCAACAATTTATTTTGCTGCCGTAACAAAACAGACAAGAATTGAAAACTCTATGTCTATTGAAATAAAGTCAATGATGGTTTGTTCAATTGATATGAACTGCAAAATAACGTTCCTGGTTGGCAGACGTTTGATAATTAGCATACATCGCGAAGCCTTTGTGCTTGGGAAGGGAGTTCAGTACAAAGTTCCTGGTTTGGTAATAACTTCTGAAGAAGCGGAATGGGAATTATTTATTCTGGTATCGTATGTTTCCCTTTGAATGTTCCCAGTTGATTTTGTCTACGATCTTCCCCATCTTGTTCAATTCCCATGGAGTACAAAAGTTTATTACGAAGAAAACTGTAAAAGTCATTTGCATACATGCGTAGGTATCTCCATGGTATTCCCTGAAGACGAGGTGTTCTTAGTGTACAACCGCTTTTAGTAATATTATCAGAATCACTTTCGCTAGCATACTTAATGTTATTGCCCAGAAAGTTCGAGTCAAAAGAAATTTAGGGGGTTTAAAAACCTTTTTGACTTCAAAACAAACTCTTCGGTCTTTCTGTACCCCCATCGCTGTATATATAGGCATGTATCCGGTCCCATAACGCATAATTCAATTTGAGAAAGCGTGTGGGATAAATTGAAGTGATTCTGTAACGGTCCCAAATAGGAAGAGAGGCCGTCATTCGCTTCCCAAAGGTATCGTAAGGTAAGGTAATGGTATCCTGATGTATCGGGGTACGGCCAAATGTACATTAAATTGTGCTCAAAATATGATTGTTAGCTATCAATAGGTATTTCGAATTTTCTGTTGGTATTATGATCGCTCTGATAGATTTACTGTTGTAGAAAGTTGAGCAAGAGTTTTTTAGATTTAACCTGTGTCATGTAAAATATAATTCAGTTCATTAATAGTAGCGTTGAGCCTAGAATTGTACCCTGTGGCATTCCATACAAATTAGAGTAAAAAGGCAAATATTGTACATCTAATAAGTATTTGTATGTATCCTTCTGAAGAACAAAAGGTCACAATGTTATATAACCTGCACGTTCATAATTTTGTCTGTACTTAAAGACTATTTGTCTTTCTTTGTGTTGTGCAATATATTATGTTAGTTCCGTCACTTAATGCCTTTAATGCTCGCTGCAGTAATTCCTTTATTTATTTGGTGATTACGCTGACTCTGTGTAACAATAATTGTGGACATTACTGCACTGAGAACGTAGTGCTTATTTTGTAGTTTGTCATGATTTTCAGTTTGTACTAGTTGTAGTACCAGTGTATATTAGTGAAGTATTGCTATGACACATAAGTGTACATACGCTACTATTGTAACGATTAAATTATAAGACAGGAAAATATATCCGATCACTAATGAACATAAACAAACATTAGGTAGACGCAATGGTTAAAATCTTAAGATCCATTTATGAACTCAGTAGCATACAGGGTGACTTTTAACTTGACATATTCTTCTTGGGAGGTTCTATCGAGATTTTTTCACCAAAACCGAAAATGTTGAATATCCCAGAAACTAACCACTTTTGGACCAGAGACCTCAGGGCTAATTTTGTAGAAAATTTGTTGTATTATCACCTCCCGAGACGAATACATCGAGTTACAAGTCACCCTGTATATTGTGATCAATTGATAACGAAGTCAGGTTAAAGCAATTTTCAAACTGAAGTAAATGAAGTAGTTCCACTAAATTATTCTTCATGAAATGTATAGATATTCTGTTTTATCTGTATCGTGGTTAGGGTCCTACTTTCTCAAGACCGCGTGTTTATTTTTTATTTGGCCCTTGTTTGTTTTTTATTAAGCTACTGATTTACCCGACGCCGGCTGTAATTTCAGATTAAGGTGACCTTTTTTATTGCGAGCGGATCTTGCACGTTTTTCTAATTTAGAGTAGGCTGTGTTTACGATTTTCGTTATATTAAAGAAGTATATAAAATGAAGTTTATTAAGGTTAAAGAGAAGTTTATAAAAAAGTTTTACTCAGTTTCTGATCAACGTCAATGTTTTTCATTCAATTTTGAGCTTGAGTACGATCTAATTCTTGACTGTAACTTACACCACAAAGATAAGCATACGATTAACCATATCACCATAAGATTAAGCAGCATTAAGCTGAGCTCCAGCCTTTTGTGCTGCGATGCACCATGAACTTCTTTTTGTGTGTTCTTGTATTGTTATCTGCATGTGTGCTGTGACGTAGTAAATTATTTTTCTTTCTTTCTTTTATATCAAACAAACTCGTAATAAATTATTCGTTCCCATGCCAAACCACAAAATATTCACGCGAAATTTCTCAAAGACAAAACGAATAACATTAGACCTCGGCTTGCCCCTAAATTAATAAATCCACCCCATTTAATCCCCTAAAATTCCTTTCATTCACCGGATTCACAACTTAACGAATAACAAGTAGCTAATACAATTCCATCCCAGCCCGGCCTCCACATAGAAATAACGTATTATCCCCCCCAAAAAGTACCTGACATTGCAAAACTTACCCCCATAAAAAACCCAGAATTACTTACGGTGACAATATCGCAATGAACTTTAGCATTCAGAATTCCCGTTTCACCCCCTTTTTTACGCACTGTGATAGATGACACAGTTTCATTTCGAAAGCATTTCATACATGTCCCGGATTTTATTCTGTGCCGTGTCGGATTCATCGTTCTGTTTTTCACGCCTTTAGAGCCCGGGGTATATTTCGGAATATTTTATGACAGACGGGAAAATATTTTCCAGATGGAAACAGTGTTTTTTGATAATCAGTTGATGGAATGTGGCTGGAGTGATCCTGTCAGCGGCTGACGTATTATGCTTTTATGATGCGACCTTCAAAGTTTGCGCTTGTTATTGTTACGTTATTGAATATTCGGCTTTATTGTGTTCGTGTTAATGTTTTGTTTGGGTTGGATGGTGTAACTGGGTGTACTAAGATTTTATTGTGATTTACTTTGTTTTAAATGTGTTGGAGAGATAAAATACCTAGTGACTAAATCATTATATGCCTTATTTATTGTCTCCTAACGCAAGCTTCTTTCTTCTCAACCATGCTGCTTTTGTTTTCGTTTCGTCTTCTGAGTTTTAATACGTTAAGTTGTCTAATTATGTTATGAAACACAGAATAAATTCTTGTTCTATTTGTTGAGCCTCTTGAAAATGTATTGTATGGGAAGTAATAGCAAACAGCTAAATCAAAACTTTCTACATTACGCAATAACTAAACAAGCATTTTTAAAAGCCTAAAAATAAAATAAATACTACATTGGTCTATCACCAGAATTACGTAAATTTTCAAGAACTTTCATGCTCGAAAAACCGTCTACACGAAACTGACTGAGTACAGACAACGGATTCGTTCGGTGCCTCATTTACAAACCTTAGCGGCAATTCTATTTTCTCACAAGAATTGAACAAAGACTCGGTCTCTTTCCAAATCGCAATTTACCATTTATCGAGTTTCGTATATATTTTCCAAAAAAAGGGAAAAAATCTAAAACGATTCACTTTAAATTGAAAGCTGTCAATGCATATGAATCGAAGATTTTTTCTTGTTGTTTCTTTTTAGAATTCTATTAGCAAAAGGTATAGGGAATTTCGTTTTTTTGTACGTCTTACAGACGACTGTATGTTTTAAAATGTTTTCATGAACATAATTATACATTTACAGTTTTGTGATCACTATTGTATAATGACAATGACTCAAAAATTTCTTTACATGTTCTATCTAAACAGTAGTCTCTGCTTAACCCCATGGGAGACAAGCGTGAGGTTATGTATGTTGCATCCTCTGAGTTTCACATAACATAACATATCATAATATCGTGCCTTTTATTCTCGAAGGGGTAGGTAGAGGTGCATATTACGGCACTTAATGCCACGATACAATATAACACCCACTTTTCACTATTTTTATTATAAGTTCCATGTATTAGAGGTTGAGCCTATTGCCATATACTGGACACGATTCCAGACTCCGTGCTACTACTGCGAATGGTTTAAAAAACCCAGATTTTGTCTCTGATTTTGATTAATTGATAAAGCTTTAAGTCCATCGATGTGTAGTGTGTGTGTGACACCTCGTCCTATAAGTAAGTAGCGTAAGGTAAATATTAAGACACTTAATTCAAGATATTCATAACAACAACACGTCTCCCTCATTGCTCCACATTGCAGATGTATATAGTTATACTATATTTTTTGAAATATTATACCTAAAGATTAAAAAAATACACATTATAACTGTCTCTACAGTAAGTTTTTAGTAAAACAAACTTCGTTAAAGGTAATTCAAGCATTACGATAAAAGAAAAACATTCTCCAGTGTCATGGAACCCATACGATACGAGTAAGCACGTCTGAGCCTTATAAGATTTTTTATTTTGTTTTCGACTAAATGCAATAAAAGAGATGTTTGCGATACTTAACGTAATAAATCTAGTTTCTTCGAAAAAATATGAGTTCGCATTTATTTATCAGTTTTTTGTTATGAAAATGCATTTTGCTTTAGAATTTGTCTTAAAAATATTAAAGTTGGTATGTTGATGAGTAAAAATTTGAATGATCGTATTAAAGGTGCATCTATTTTGTTGCTTATACAGATTTTCTTTCAATATTTATTGTTTTTCTATTGTTTCAAATACAAAATTGAACTATCAAAAATGATGCGTTTGATTCTGAAATTATATTATTACGCTTTTTTTGATGAAATTATATGATTAGCTATTATAGTTTTGGTCGTACTAAACACTCCGGCCGTCGGGAATCGCGAGACGATGACCAGCCACCGTAAGCACGGGGCTGCGGACGGCAAGTATGGGTAGCTCGCTTCCCGACCAGAACCAAATACGAGCTTACGGCGCGCCACGTTCCGCGCGTGCTTCAAAGTGCCTTCAAACCACCATGGGGCCCAAAGGGCTGATACTGATACCGATACGGAGCCACGGAGAACGTAAAAGGTTACCGGGGCTCCGGTTCGAAGTGCAGGTGTAGGACAGGGGTGGTTTGTAGTCAGTAAGAGACTGACACTCCCTCCCGATTCAACCAGGTGGGATAAGTCTTTCGATGATATTACCCCCTTAAAAAAAAGACTACTTCTTATACTTCTCTCTCTTTACTACTTCTTTGTTAAGGTATAGACTTTTATAATTTTAACTTATCTAGACTTCTTAATGACTTTTAAAACGCCCTAGTTCGAAACAAACCGTTTACCTTGATGCTTAGTGGTGGGAATCCGTGGGAGGTGGCGAAAGAAAAATTAATTTCTTCAATGGCTCCCTATCCAGCTATTGTTTATGGAAATCACTGAGCCCGCTTTCTTTAATTCGAAATGTTTGTCCATATTTTGGCTTTAGAAAGCCCTTTAGTACCCCTTATATAACGTTTTTTCTGCGGTTGCTAATTATCATAATTTGTGGTTGTTAAAAGGAAGAATTTAAATAAATTCATTTTCGAATATTTCAAGTATTTTGTTTGAAACATTTTGATCTTTTGTTGTTTAAGTATTAAACGTTTTGATACTTATTTGTTTTTCAAGAATTTTGTTATTTGAATAAAATTGTAAGTCAATTGTTTTTAGGATGTTGCACGTCATTGATTTTAATCTTGTTTTGTTGGCTTAGAATTCAAAATAAGTTTATTGGTTTAAAATAAAAACATAACATAACGTTATGTTATGTTATGTTTTAACGTTATGTTATGTTATGTTTTCTTATCACGACTTTTATCCCCGAAGAGGTAGGCAGAGGTGCACACAGAAGTAACACCCACTTTTCACTATTTATATTATAAGTCCCGTGTAATAGGGGGTGAGCCTATTGCCATATACCGGGCAAATTTCCAGACCCCGTGCTACTACTGAGATTTCTTTATTAAAAAAACCCAGTAGTACTTTACCAAAAAAAAGTATATTCATACTATGGAAAATTTCGAAAACATATCTTACGACGGGTGGTTCAGGTAGAAAGAATACCTACCAAAAATCGATTGTTTATTTATCTATATACTTACTTACTAATGAACGTAGGTACAAAGCGTCTGACTTCATTAGAATCAGTCCAATCAACTGACTAAACACGGTTGATCAATATTAATTAAAATTCTCCACGCACTGAAATGACAACGGATGCCTGCCAACAATTTTAATTCTAGCGACATTTAATATTAAGGTGTATTTTAATTTAAATTGATAGATTTGATATATAAATCTTAATCATGTCAATGTAATTAATAAATGATGGTCTTGAATGGATTGCACGTGTTGCTAAGCACAAGATCCAAGCACAATCTCCAGATGGATCAAAGCTATGTTCAATTTACTACAGCCTAATGAGCTGCATAGATTAAAGTTAATAATATAATATTAATTTTTTTTTAAACGTAGGTAAGTAAGATTAAGTAAGATTTTCTCCTGTGTCGTGGGTGCGTTTACAAACATACAATATCACATACACATGACGTTCAGACCCGGAACAACAATCTGTGGATCACACAAACAGTTGTTCCGTGCGGAAATCTAACCCACGACACGTTGCGCGGCAGCCAGTTGCCCAGCCACTTCACCAACCGTGCAGTCTGAATAATTATTATTAATACATTAAGTTTGGTATAATAACAATGGCTGCATTTAAATTAGAGTTTCTATGAAAAAAACATTAACGA